TTCCCCCGGGCCCCAAATCCAAATTTTAAAAAAAACCTTTTTTAAAAAAAAAAAAATTTTGGGGGGTTTTTTGCCCCAAAATTTGGGGTTGGGGCCGGGCCCGTTTGTTTTTTTTTTTTTTTTGGGGGCCGGTTAACCCCCTTTTTGATTTTTTTCCAAAAAAAGGCCGTTTTGGGCCAAAACCCCCCCCCCCCGAACCCCCCCCCCCCCCCGATAACAGATTATCACCAAATAAACACAATCCGGGAGACGAAATCGGAAAGAACAAACACTGTACAGTAGGCGGCCCCATGCAGACGACAAGAAAGAGAGCCCATCGCTTCCGGTCGGCACGCGATGCCAAGCAAAACACAATATATAAAATGATGAAACAAAAATCACCCAAGAGCAACCAATATTAATAGCAAGATTCGCCTGGTTCTTTGGTATCCTTGTACCCCTACCACTGCCGGCCAGGGTGTATTGGCCGCCGCGATTGCACCTGCTACTCCGCAAACAGTGTGCACCCGAAATTGAATGCGTGGTTCGAAGAACACTCCGCCGACTACACAATCAAGAGATGCATGCACGAACAAAATACAAACATACCCAACAGGCCCCTCTGCTCGAGCACAGGACACAAAAGCCGGGGACGGTGAACTGACTTAATCCCCAACCATGGTTCATTGCCTATCGCTCGATCGTGCACTTAATTTTATCAGCGGAACTCCAGCCCCTAGGCAGAAGGTCAACGATCGCCGTTCGTTGTACCTGAATCGTCCAACACCCAGCCGGGGGCATCCGCAACTACGAGCTCGGCCGATCGCTGTTCCGGGGTCACCATACACTCTAGAGAGTGTATGGCAGTAATATGTGGTGAGAGCTCCGTCGTTGGGGCAGGAACCGCGCCTAGAAATTGACTTGTTTCTTCGCGTTACGCAATGCTCCCAGTATCCTTCATACGAAATATGCATGATGATTTGCCGTATTAATCCCGGCTCTCGCTTCGCACACAAGAATGTTCATGCGTAAGTGTGTTCACGGCAATACTGTGCCGGTGTTAATAAAAACAGCGCGTTCCATCACATGCCGGTCACGAGGAAAGCTATGGTGTTCAGGTCATCCGAGAGCCCAGACTATTCCTCTGAAGCGTTCTTACTGGGGTTCTCCTCCGGAAAAGGACAGTGAATAAAAAAAGCGCTTCCACGGATCGAGAGACGGACACGTACGTGCATGCACGCCATATGCGCATTTTCAACTCGATGTAATATGCCTTTCAACCGGATGGGGTATTCCCTCGCCTCTGTGGAAGCTCACTCCTTAGTCTACGTGCACGCATGCCCTGCTGTCGATTGCCATTTTGCTCAGGAAACCTTCTAGTGTGATCGGAAAACATAGGAAGCGGGCTACGTTCGTCTGGGTATCGCTGCTGGCCATCCAAGTTGGATGTGAGTGAGGGGGTTGCTGGGACTTGATAGTGTTATGAACTTGTACGTTTCTCCAGTCTGCACGAGGCTCGGAGACGCGCAAAGAATTAGCACTCATCGCGAACTCTTGATGGTCTACGCATATGTCGAATCGGTTGTAGACACTGACAGGCTTCAGTACTGCTGAGTTGTGTACTGCAAAGCACACATGTTTTCGAAAAGGCAGGGCCAAAGGCGTTTCGGTTCGAGAACATTAACATGGATTATGTTGCACGATGTGCAGGCCGTGGACACCTAGTGCACCTACTGGTAAATAGTTTGCGTTCCCCT